TTCGCGGGGCTGAGGAAAAGCGGAAACGAGGACGGACAGTGTCTGCTCCCCCATTCCAGTGGGGGGAGACCACCAACACGAAGCACCGTGTAAGGGAGCATCAGCCGGCCGCCGGTGCAGTTAGGGAAATGAGCAGGCCCTGGCGCTGTGCGAGATACCAAGGCCCTCTGAGCGCTGGCCGGGTTGAGCCTGCGAAGGCCTGGACCCTCCCTCACAACCTCCCTCCTCCAGACGGTCTCACCTGCAGGAGTCCCCCGACACGTGACCTCAGGCAGACGCCCCCGAGGCTCCCACCCAGCTGGGCCACCACTTCGCCCCAGTCCCAGCCCTCCTCCACCCCAGCCAGGCTGTGGGCCTGGCCGAGCTCTCCTCCCACGGCAAGGCTCTGCCGAATGGGCACCCTGAGCTGGGGCCTGAGAGCCCTCCAGCGCTGCTGTCTCCAGCCCGGGGACGCCGCGGCACCACCTGGCCCAGGCAACTTCTCCATCTCTACGATGGAAGATCGGCTTCTCAGTGACGCCTCTCCCAATTCAGACCTGTCAACTCCTCCCTCGCCCTTGGCCTTGGGCTCATGTCACCAGGAAGCGCCAGAAGGACTCCGTCACCCTGCCCACTGGGTTTACAGCTCCAGTGACAGCCCCTGTGCCTTCCCACGCCTTACAGACCTCCAACAAGACCTCCGAGACCAACCAGCTCCCCCCTGCAGCCCCCAGCCAAGGCCCTCTGGCCTCTCAACCAGGGAGCCCCTGGCCCAACTTTCTGCACCAAGTTTCCTCCTCTGCGGCCTGGCAGGCCTCCGCCGGCCTGAGGCCCAGGCGGGTCACCACCACTGCCCTCCCCAGGCATAGAGGCTAGCCCCTGCTCCTCAGCACGGACAGGCCCTCCAACTTCCTGTCCTGCAAAGCTCATCGTCCAGACTCACCAACTTCACCAATCACCCTTCCCTTGCCTGGGGCCCAAGATCACCCAGCTCCTTCACTGTGAGGCCAACGCCTCAAGCCCTCCCCCAGCCAAGACAGATCACCTCCTCCAGCCGGTAAACCGACCCATTTCTCCACGCCATCGCCTTTCTGCCAGTCCTTGCCATCCCTCTCTAAACTCCCAGGAATGAGGGACTACCCCCCACCCCGCCCCCCACCGTGAGCGCTCACCACCTCCACCCCTTACCCAGGACAGGCCAATCAGCAACTGTCCTCTCAACTCCTCCCAACCAGACTCCAACGGACTCTCCTTCTTGACATTCTCCCCTCCCCTCGGACCCCCTCACTGCCTCTCCGAGACTGCCCATGAAAAACAACCCCAACAAACAAAAACACGTATCTGCCAGGATCATGGCAGCTGCTATTTCTGCGGCAGGAACTTACAAGGACTATCTTATTTAATCCTTCCCATAGCAGAAATTAGCACCTCCATTTGCAGAGAAAGAAACAGGAGGCTCAGAGAGGAAAAACGGCTTACTCCAAGCCAAACAGCCGGTCACACACAGCTGTTCCTCTTCTGGGAACCTGCAGACCAGAACCTCTCCCCTACCCCACCCCAAGCCAAACTCTCCAACTGCCCCGGCCACAACCCTCCAGCCCACAAACTCACCATCTTCCCTGCCCCTTGCCCTGGGCCCACAAACTAACCACTCTCTCTGCCCCTCTCCTGGAAGTTTGCGACAGCAGGAACATCCAGGCCCCAATCTTGTGAACCAACTCCTCCAGACTGGCCCCTAAAATGACCAGCGTCAACTAACAGCAGCCCTAAAGCGACCAACAATAACTGATCTTCACGAAGGCTCATCCTGGCCACTTCTGAGACACAACCTTTTTCAGTCCTCTCTTAAACCCGTGGCATGGGGATGACCACCCACTCTACAGATGGGAAAACAGAGGCTCTGAGGAGTTAGGTGAGCAGCCTGAGGTCGTGAAGTGGGCAAATGGGAGTCAGGACGTGAACTGGAGCCTCTGCTCTTCACACCTTGCTCTGCCTCTCCAGGTCTCTCCCACTTCCTGCTCTGAACTCCCTGGACTGGATACCATGCTATACCCAGGACCCATTGTGACCCATTCCCTTCCTCAGCCGCAGTCCCCAGAGCCCTGCAACCCTAAAGAGACCACCTATCCCTGGGGCCTAAAGCCCAAGGATGTGGCTGGCTCCCAACATCAGGAATCTTAAATTAACCACTATCTCCTTAACCATAACCAGCCACACTGGTATCTAGGGTGGGCTCCCTGCGTGAGGGACAGAGAGAGAGAGAGAGATCAAGATCCTTCTACAGCCAGGCCCCAAAGCCCCTTTTTCAGGAAGCAAGAAGAGGCATGAGTGACTTTTCTTCTTCTCAATGCCAAGACCTAACTCCTCCTCTGACCATCCTCCGGATCCTCAAATTGACTACCAACTCTGCTCCTTTTGTGCGGGTTTATTCTGACTCCCTTTCCACAACCCCAGGCTTCACCATCTCCTCTGCAGCCGCGCTCCACGTTCATTCCTCTTCCTCCTTTCGGCCAAGAACGTGAGCAACACGACCACCCCTTGCTCCACGGCTTGGAGACGAGCAACTTAACCTCCTTCCACCCCCACGGGCCCATCAAACTCTTCCGACTGCCCTTTCAGAGCCAGTGTTGAACCCCTCTCCCCTGATTGCCCTGTCCCTCTCTGGGGGAACTACGAACTCAAAGACTATCGCCCTCCCAATCCCCCAGGCCACCAAACTTCTTTAATTGCTCATCGTTTTAATTCTTAAAATGATCACCTTTAGCGTCTCTTGGGGCGGGGGCGGGGGGCAGTGGGCATAAACCGGCTACTTCTCACCTTCCCAACGCCAACAGCCGCCCCATCTCCAACACCCTCCAGCTCTAAACTGATCCCTGTCTCCTTAAATCATCATTAGGTGCAACTTACTGAGCGCCACCTCCGTGCCGGGCGCTGCACGGACGCCCGGGTACCCCCCGAGCCCGCCCCCGCGCCCCGGCCGTAGCTACCGTGTCTCCAGGGGTCTTTGGGCTCCACCGCTCCGGAGACGATATCCTCGTCGGACGGGAACGTGACGCGCTTGGCCGCAGCCTTGAGGCGCCCGTCGGCGGGGGGCGACGCGGGGCTGGGAGACCGGGCCTCGGCGGGGGCCTCCTCGGCGGCGTCGTCCGCGCCCGGCCCGGGCGGCGCCTCCTGCGGCGGGGTCTCCATCGCCGCCGCCGCCGCCGCCGCCGCCGCCTCCTCACGGGGGCCCCGGGGACATGCCCCGGGCCCCGGACTCGTCTCTCCGGGACCGCCCGCCGTCCCGGGGCATGGGCTCCGCCGCCGCTTCAGGCGCCGCCTCCGTCCGCTCGCCTGGTCGTCGTAGTCGTCGCCGCCGGGAGCCCGAGCGCACCTCCCCCGAGCCCCGCGCGCGCCTGCTCGTTCGCAGCCGCACTTTCGTCAAGGGCCGGCGAGCCCGTCGCGTACTAAGAAGAGCAGAAAATCAATTTAAGCCATCTGCAGGTAGAGTTGCTCGCAGGTTGTTGGAGGAGGGGACAAAAGTGAGAAACAGCCACGAGAAAAAGGAACGTGGGCAGCGAATCTGCAGGACCGGAACTGCAGAGCATGAGGGGCGGGGCGAGGTGGACGCCGTCTCCCAGAGCAGCGCGCAGGCGCGAACCCGAGCCGCCCCCACCCCGCCTCCCCCCTCCATCTGGATAACTGATGTTCTCGCTCGCACACATTCGTCACGAGCTCAGGCAATGGAGAGGGGAGTGGAGTTGACAGAAATAAAAACATCTCGTTGGCGTTGGCTGGGCTAGCCCAACTGGTAAGGAGAGAGGCAAAGGGATGGAGAACTTAAAAGGAAAGACGATAGGAGCTGTGATGAACGGCGATGGACGCTGACAGAGGGATCCTCTGCCTGGAGGGGAAGCCTCTGCCCCCTTGCTATTATTCTCTAGCCTTTCATTTGCAGACTGCAGTTTCATCAATAGTTCTCTGTATTTGGATAGCGTTGCATAAATATAACTTAAATTTAAAAGCTAAAATAAATATGAGCCCATGAGTATCAGAGCCTTGATCAAAAACAAAAAAGTGGGAGAAGGAAGAACTTCCCAAAGCAAGAGACGAATCTGCCCACCTAAATACCGGGCAATGGAGCAGGTAGATTGCCCAGCTGGGAGCGAACCAGCACGAGCTCGAGCCCCGCCCCTAGGGGCTCACTTCAATCGCTTAATATTCGCCTTCGCACTTTCGCCAGCCTTTCCCAACCCTTCCGTCAATTTGGGTGGGGAAAGGCGGGGCTAAAACCAAAAAAAGGGGACCCGGGGAGGAGCCAGTGACGTAGTTGCCAAGGCAACTTGACAGCTTTGCCCGGCACTCGCGTGAGGTGGCGAAGTGAAGCTGAGGCTCTCCGCTTGCCCCATTCAACATCGGCCGCCGCACTTTCGCCACTGAAGACGGACGGTCAGTCTCATCTATACTCAATGGGAGCATCACTTCCATTCCGAAGTCGATGGGACTACAAAGGGGCAGACGTTACTTCTTTGAAGCGAATCTGCGGAAAGACTACCAGTGGCGGGATAACGGACGCGAGTGACACTTATCCATCCACTGGAGCGAGATGGAGAAAGCGTGAAGCTTCACCCTGACCCCGAATGCCCAGCCTCTTCTCTGTGTGGTCCCAGCGCAGGGTCCGACCCTTCCCGCACGGGCAGGGTGGCTGACCCTCGGTCTCTGGTGTGCGGGCCACACCGCCCAGACACCGGGGAGTGGGGGGAGCGCGACAGTGTCACCCAGCGCCAGCCACGCCCCTCGCAGTGTACCGCCCCCCACCCGAGAAAGAAAGCGAGTCCAGGTCTCCTAAGCCGGCATTCCGGTCCCGGGGACGAAAGGTGATCCGCTCCCGGCGCCTTTATCCGAGTTCCTCCCAGCCCCTTGACGTGTCCTCCCCTTCTTGGCCCAGCTCCACCGATCCAGCCCTCGGATAGCCACCCTTCCACCCGCTAAATCTGGCTCGGTCCCTGAGTGGTACACTTAAAAAAACAACAGGAGGCGAATTTTCCTGGGAGTATTGGTTCTTTGGCAGGAGGGGAGTATTGGGGAGCATCTTCAGGGTGGCTGAACTTTGTAACTTCCTTAATCAACAATTAACCACTCTGCCATTTGCCTTCCCGCAGTCCCCCTCCGCCTCCCCAGTCCTCAGGGTTTGGCATGAGGCCCATGTTTCTGTCCAGTTTAGAGTTCTGTGAGGTAGAGCTTCCCTTTCAACACGATCTGGAGCTCCTGGGGTTGCAGAATTTTACTGACTAGACCCTGGAGGATCCAAGAAACCGGTTGCTTGGAGCTTGGTTCAAAATGCTGAAGGAGTTCAGAACTCTATGGGGCCTGTTGTTCTGGGCTCAGGATCATTCGGAGGCCCGGGACATTGTGGCTAGGCCCAAGGCAGAACATAATAATGTCTTTAGGGCTTGAAGGTGTATGCAATGATGTCGCTACACCGGAGCAGCGCCTCAGCCTGCACACCTATCGGAGTCTGCAGCTGCGACACGTAGAAGTTGGCCACGTCCAGGTCAGTGGCTCCGAAGTGGGCAGTCACATGCACGCCCTCGTGCAATGTGAAGCTCACCTGGCGGCCCACCATGGCCAGCAGGCTGCGGAGGTAGCGTTCCCGAAGGGCGGCTCGGGCCCGCTGTTCCTGGGATTCCTGGGATTCTGGAACTCCGGGAGACTCTGGGATTCCAGGAACCTCTGGCTTCAGGGGGGCCCTGCGTCCATCGGGGGCAAAGCCTCGGCTCCAGCCATCAGGGCCCCGGGGGAGGCGGAGCACAGGCACAGGAATGGTCAGTGGAGTCTGCATAGTCCTGGCTGTCGGGTGAAGAGCAGGGAGCCATTACACGGGGGGGGGGGGGGAGGCAGGAGGGAGGACTGGGTGCAGAGGCTGGTCTACCGCATCTCAGCTTAACCCTCCTGAAACCCGACTCCTGATTCCGCCTCCTAAAATCCGCGCCACCCCTCACCAGGGACTTCTGACTGCTTTCATCACAGCTTTTTCCCCTGACAATAAACATGTGCTGAAAGAACGAACCCCAGCCTCCTCTCCTCTCTCGCACGCTGCCTATCCAATCCATCGAGAAATGCCAGCTTCCAGATAATTCCTAATCACACAGGGGCCAGCTTGAAAGGGCTCCCACTGGCCAAATCAGAACGGTTGAACATGAAACTAATGATAGTTATAGATGGAATAAAATAGAAATCCACGAGTCCACACTAATTATAAATAAATAAGTGAATAAATAAGGGGAGAAGGAAAATTCTTCCTTACAGAATGGCAGCTAAAACCATCAAAGGATGCTAAAACTTGTGGCTGAAGGTTGGATGAGGCCCAGGAGACCTACATAGTCTTAAAGTGCCCCTCGCGAGATACATTCGTTGTGAAGAGTAAAGAGTAACTATGGTGGAGAAACCTGGCGGACACGGCCTTAACTTAGGCACCAAAGCCACCACGGGCAGGAAAGGGACAGACGGACACCAATACCTCCTGATGGGAGGCACTGAGGACGGGGCACTGTTTCTGTGGTATGCCCACCCAAAATGGATTACCTGATGCTAATCATGAGGTAACTCAAATTGAGGGACATTCTGCAAAAAAATTAGCCTGAGTTCTTCAAAAATATCAAAATCGTGAAAGACAGAGAAAGGCTCGGGGCGGGGGGGGGGGGGGGGGAATCTATATATTTATTCATTCACGACCTGACACTCCTCACTCTCCACTGCCAACATCTTGGTCCAGCCGCATCACCTCCTGCCTGGACTATGGAGTCCGCTCCTCCCTGGGCCACTGGTTGCACCTTCACCCCGCCATCAGTCTGTCCCCATCCACAGCCAGAGCACCTGGTCCCACCTGAGTCAGATCACGTCTCTCTTGTACCCAGAGCCCTCTCTGGCTTCCATCTCCCTCAGACCCAAAGGCAGAGTCCTTGGCACAGCTGTCAAGACCCCGCACGCGGCTCTCTGCGCCCCGCCCACACTGGCCTCCTCGCTGTTCCTCAGGCACGCCTGGCACGGCCCCACCTCAGGCCCTTGAATTTGAGGTCCCCTCGGTCTCTATCTCCTTTCCCCCTCCCCTGACCGCCCTGTCTTAACTCCCCCTCATCTCCCTCCACCCCCTCGGCTGGCCTCATCATTCTTTGCAGCACGCGCCACTCCCAGACATGATACTGTATATTTATGGTTCTGCTCATGGGCTTTCTGCCCTGCAGGATGGCTGCTCCCCATGGGCAGCGACCTTGCTTTTCTCACTGCTGCATCCCCAGCTCCTGGAACACTGAGTGGCACACAGACCAGGCTCCGTAAATACGGTTCCTGCTCTCCCTGCTGGTGGAGATTGAGCTCCTAGGCCTGCTGAGCTGTGTGACCTCAAGCGAGAGCCAGTTTCCTCTTCCACTGTATGGAGAAATGCCACCAACTGCCACCTCTGCTTGTTATCAGGATTCATCAGGCTCATGAAGGACAGGGCCTGGGCCGTACTAGGTTCTCCATAACGTTAGCTACAGTTATTAATTTTAGTATTGCTGTGTGACCTGCGGTAAGTTGCTTAACTGGTCTGGGCCTTGGTTTCCTCATCTGTAAAATGGGGATGATATGAGGACCCACCTGAGAGGGTTCTCATGGGGACTAAATGATCTAACAAATTGACAGTGTTTAGCATAGGCCTGGAACATATTCAGCGCCACTGCCGTGATGTTGACGGCATTCAGGAAACACTGGCTTTGTGGGTAGGAGACGAGAAGGAAGTTTCAGGAAGCTGCGCCCCTCCCCGGGGCTCAGGCCCCTCCTCTCTAAAGGGATTAACTGAAATGACTGACAAGTATCAGGTACCCAGCATCACTGGGGCCACTCTCGGCGTGGAAGGGACTGAGACTGTCCTTGTTCTCATCACGCCCTTTCTGTGCCTGCAGCTTCCCCGTGAGCAGCTTGCTAGAAAGGACCTCGCAGGCAGATGGGCCCAGGCTGCAGACCGGAGGCTCTGGCCTTGACACTACTGACATCTGGGGCTGGATCATCCTTTGTCGCGGTGTGGGGGGCTGTCCTGTGTAGAGGTGGAGGGTTTTCGCAGTGTCCCTGGCCTCCCCCTACAGACACCAGGAGCGCCCCCCACCCCCACCCCAAGTTATGACACGCAAAGATGTCCCTGTGGGTGAACACTACGGGAGAAGCATTATATCTCGACAAAGCCATTTTTTTTTTTAAAAAAACAGCTCTCCATATATTGCCACGTGTCCCCTGGGGGACGAAATAATATTGTCTCTGGTTGAAACCCACTGATGCGGACAAACAGGGGGAGGGAAGGTAAAGACGGCTGCTGAACACGTCAACATACTCACAACCTCACCGACCCCTCGAAGGGGAGTTTGACGACATCTAAGAACACTGTCAACGCACAGGTCACTCAGCCCATCGAGAGCCCGGGGCCGGAGACTCTGGGAGGCCCGCCTTCTGCACCTTCTGAATTCCATACCACGTGTTTGTATAACCTTTCCAAAAGCATTTTTAAATTCTAATTTTAAAAAGGAAGGGGTATATTGTAACGCTTCCATGCCCCTAACCCACTCCCCAAACCTCTTTCTGTCCCCAGCCCAGACCTTTCCCAGCCCCCTATTAGGAGCTGCCACGTCCTCCCAATGGGACGCCACCACTGGTGGCCCAGATCGAATCCTTATCAGCAGAGGCCAGCGAATTTCTTCTGTGAAGGGCCTGATGGTAAATGTTTTAGGCTTCACGGGCCACAGGGTCTGTGTCACAACGACCCAACTCTGCCATCGGGGCAGGAAAGCAGCCAGACAATATGGAGTCAGTGAACGCGGCAGCGCTCCGATAAAACCTTACTTGCTGGGACACTGACGTTTGAATTGTATATAATTTTACACGCCACACACATTTTTTTAAAGTTTTCCAACCACTTACAAATCTAAACCCCTCTCTTAGCTCACGTGTCATACAAGAACAGGTGGCGGGGCCCCAGCTCCCCCCGGGCAGAGAGGATGGGGGCGAGGGCCGGCAGAGCAGGCGGGCCCCAGCCCTCCCAGATCCACTACGAAGGATCTGGGCAGGTCGACTCCACGAGCAGCCCCTCAGCTCCGGTTCCTCATCTGTGACATGAAGCATAAACAGGCTCCTAGGGCATCAGTATCCAAAGGATCTTTTCAGACACCATGTCTCCTCAGAGAAGAGAAACAATAGAAAGAATAAACAAATGGGACTACATCAGACTAAAGAGCTTCTTCAAGGCAGGCGAAAACAGGATTGAAACAAAAAAACCCACTAATTGGGAAAAAATATTTACAAGTTATATATCCAACAAAGGGTTAATCTTCATAATATATAGAGAACTCACACAGCTCAACTACAAAAAATCAAACAACCCGATCAAAAAGTGGGCAGGGGACATGAACAGACATTTCTCCAAAGAAGATATACGGATGGCCAACAGGCACATGAACAGATGCTCATCATCACTGATCATCAGGGAAATGCAAATCAAAACTACACTAAGATGTCACCTTACACCTGTCAGAATGGCAAAAATAGCCAAAACCAAGAGTGACAAATGTTGGAGAGGTTGTGGAGAAAAAGGAACCCTCATACACTGTTGGTGGGAATGCAAACTGGTGCAGCCACTATGGAAAACCATATGGAGAGTTCTCAAAAAATTAAAAATAGAAATACCATACGACCCAGCCATCCCACTACTGGGTATCTACCCAAAGAATTTGAAGTCAGCAATTCCAAAAGTCCCATGCACCCCTATGTTCATCGCAGCATTATTTACAATAGCCAAGACGTGGAAGCAACCTAAGTGCCCAGCAACTGATGATTGGATAAAGAAGATGTGGTGTATATGTACAATGGAATACTACTCAGCCATAAAAAAGGACAAAATTGTCCCATTCACAACAACATGGATGGACCTTGAGGGTATTATGTTTTGGTTTTGTTTTTTGTTTTAAAGATTTTATTTTTTCCTTTTTCTCCCCAAAGCCCCCTGGTACATAGTTGTATATTCTTCGCTGTCGATCCTTCTAGTTGTGGCATGTGGGACGCTGCCTCAGCGTGGCTCGACGAGCAGTGCCAAGTCCGCGCCCAGGATTCGAACCAACGAAACACTGGGCCGCCTGCAGTGGAGCGCACAAACTTAACCGCTCAGCCACGGGGCTAGCCCCGAGGGTATTATGTTAAGTGAAATAAGCCAGATGGAGAAAGATGAACTCTGTATGACTCCACTCATAGGTGGAAGTTAAACATGTAGACAAAGAGAACAGATTAGCGGTTACCAGGGGAAAAGGGGTGTGTGGGGAGGGCACAGAGAGTGAAGTGGTGCACCTACAACATGACTGACAATAATGTACAACTGAAGTTTCACACGGTTGTAAACTATCATAATCTTAATAATAAAAAAAAAAGGCTCCTAGGGTTGTGGAGAAGATCTTTCTGGGGAGGCTGGTGATACACAGGCAAAGGACATCCCACAATGCTCTGGACTCCTCACTCTGTCTCCTACCCACATCCAGGGGCCGGCCCGCTGGCGCAGCGGTTAAGTGCGCACATTCCGCTTCAGCGGCCCGGGGTTTGCCAGTTCAGATCCCGGGTGCAGACATGGCACTGCTCATCAGGCCATGCTGTGACAGGCGTCCCACATATAAAGTAGAGGAAGATGGGCACACATGTTAGCTCAGGGCCAGTCTTCCTCAGCAAAAAGAGGAGGATTGGCAGCAGATGTTAACTCAGGGCTAATCTTCCTCAAAATAAAAATAAAACAAAAACAAAACAAAACAAAAACACACCCAGGATCCAGTGACTTCCCATCA